CTCTTGATCAACAGTATGACAATTGTGAACACAGAGGAATCCGCTTAAATCAAAATCTGTGCGGGATCGACCGATTATTCTTCAGTTTACAGACGCTGCCCTTTTTTTTATATCTAACTAAAATCAGGTATTTTATTTTCTTTCGGTTAATCGCTGTTTCAGATTGATCACGTTCAGTTTGAGCGGACTCACCTGCACCATGGAAAAGGAGGTAGGTTCACGTACAGTGTTATACTTAGTGAGGTTTATGGTTAGGCTAAAGGTGAGGGTTAGGCTCGGCCTCAGTAGCCAGGGTCCATGCTGTGTTGGTTCATGTCAAATTTGGTGAGGAAGATTTTGTCGGTGTCGATGAGCATGCCTGGCGTTAGACCTGACGCTAGACTGACCTGGCCTGGCATGAGACTGGACTGCAGGCCAACCTGGCCTGGCGCTAGACTGGATGATAGACTGACCTGATCTGGTGTTAGGCCCTGCGCTAGGCTGGCTTGGCCTGGTGCTAGACTTATCTGGACACCGCCCGACATGTCACTGGGGTCACCACCCCGCCCAGCCCCACCGCCCGGCTTGTCCATCAGCCCAGCCACATAGCCCCCAGACACACCCGGCATTTCCACTTTGTCCGACAACTGCAGCGACGTCAGACTCTGGAAAGAGGAGGGCATCGCAAGACCGATGTCAGACTGGCGCTGGTCCGGCGTCATGACATCCTGGGCCAGCCGCGAGGACAGACTGAGGGCATACGTTGAGGTCAGGGGGGTGTCCAAGGCTTTGCGCAGCTCGGGGGCAAAGGTCATGGAGGAGGACAGGTGTAGGGGAGGGGTGGGCTGTAGAGTGGAGTAGACCGGATGTTGCTGTTGTTGTGGAGGGAGGGGCGGGTTGTGGCCTGAATGGTGGGAGGCTGGAGGTTGCGGTGGGGGGAGTGGAGGGCCGCCAGCCTGGTGATGGGAGGCTGGCGGGTGATCCTGGGTGAGAACCAAGCCAGAGGAGGTGAGGGAATCCGCCATGAGGACGTGCGAATTTGCATGGGATGAGGAGAAAGAATCGGACATAGCCACCACACGTCCCTCCTCTCCATCCTCCTCCTCCTCGGGCTGAGAGTGCTTGGCCTTGATGTGGCCCTGTAGAGAGTTCTTGTGGTTGAAAGTGTGGGAGCAGTGAGGACACGCGTACCTCCTGTGGCTGGCGTGCACGCGCATGTGGATGGAGAGGTTGGAGCGAATTGCACAGCGCTTGCCGCACACCTCGCACTGGAAGGGCTTCTCCCGCGTGTGGGTCAGCAGGTGGCGGCGCAGCATCCCGTTGCTGCGGAAACGCTTGGGGCAGCGGTCGCAGGCGTAGGGCCTCTCCCCAGAGTGCGTGAGCATGTGTCTGTCCAGATTGGTGCGCCGCAGGTAGCGCTGGGGACACTGGTCGCAGGCAAACAGACGCTCCTGCTGTTCCCCCTTGGCAGCGGCGTGCACCAGCATGTGCTCCTTCAGCTTACAGACCACCAGCCCGCATGTGGGGCACTGCTCCCGCTTGTCCTTGCGGTGGTACGCCAGGTGGCGCTTCAGCTCCTCCGCCGAGCCAAACTGAGCGGTGCACTGATCGCAGCGCAGGATGCGGTCCGGGTGCGCGGTGCGGTAGTGGCAGTTGCGACTGGTCCGGTTAGGGAAAACCTCGCCGCAGACCCCACACTGGATCTGGTGGCTCAGCTGGTGCTTGGCTAGGTCCGCCCGCGTCAAGAAGCGGAGGTCGCAAGACGTGCAGCGAAAGCGTAAAGCCGTCAGGTGCGAGTTCATGTGGTGCTGCCGCGCCGAGAGACATGGGAATTTCTCCGGACACACACAGCAGCGGTAGGCCAGCTCGCCAGTGTGCAGCATGGTGTGGATCTTGAGACTGTCCATGGAGGACACCACCTCACCACACATCTCACACTTCATTCGCTCTTTTTTC